CTTTGCTGTTCAAAAGGAGGAAACATCCCAAATAGCTATGTTGGCAACACTAAACTGATAACCTATTCTAAACTAAACAAGCTGTCCCATTGGATGATTCAAACTCAGTTTTAGTCTGAAAAATGACTCAGCATGACAGCTGCAAGTCAGCAAAATATTTGGTAACATTTGGATGAGGATTTGACTTGCTGTCTCACCGAACTCCCACGTATCACAAACATTGGTCCGGCCCTGCTTTTTCCTTCTAAAGAAAGAAAGCAGGCTAACAAGGCAGGATTTTGCAATGCATGACTTATTTATTTACCTTAACTGATGATATTGAATACAAAGAAAAAGCCACACCTCCCTTTCACAGCTATAAAGTGAAAAGTAAAGCCTGATAAAAAATACAGGAATAATCCTTTATTATTTTATTTTGTAAAAAAACCCCCGAAGGAATAATCATTTATAGAAGATCAGACTCATATAATGTTCCTATTTTTACTTATTTATTTATCCATGCAGGTATACCTAAAGATTATGATTCATATATTTCGATGATTACTTTAAAAGGATGCTTAGTAAAAAATGTAAGTGTTTGTTAACAAACTGTAAGGTAAGGTGATTCCAATGTGTTTAACTGCGATTTCAAGAGTTTTAAATGCATTTTCATGATTAATATTGCGAATTGCAATTGGTATGTAGAGTTTATGATATTTTTCCATGTAGTTTAAACGGGAAACCCTCACTAAAAAAACGTGCAAAACATTTTTTTCTTCCAGGCCTTCTTACCGCACAAAATAGGTCTCAAACTAAACGAGAGGCAATTCAAAAAAAGGTTAAAGAGTTCATTACATCAGGAGCATCTAAAGCTGGGTAATGACGGCTGGCATCAAAGGTCAATGTGTTTAGAGGAGCTCCTGGCTGACGTCCCCGACCAGACACCATCTCAAACCTCAGAGCAGCCATTACAGAGCAGCAGGACATCACTTCCCTGGCAAAATCCACTTTCTCCTCACTTATACGATTACAGGCAGTCACTAAGGGCAACAGCATTACATCCTCGGCTGAGGGGAGTTTATGGGCCTTACTTGGGCTAAAAAGGTCAATTATCATGGGAGGAATATCAGATTACACTTTTAGGCCTATTTTTCTCTTTGCATGTGTCTCTGGAAAATTCTGGAAATGTATACAAAGGAAGCTGAGGGATTTTTCACACAATATAAAGCTGAGCATTGCTGACATTATTTTTAAAATCCACCAACAGATCAATATAACTTAACATTTTCAATTAAAAAAAGTCAATAACAATATGCATTTATAGGCCGGAATACCAGCTGGTATGGAATGGAAAAAATATAATTGACTGGAGTTGCATCCATTTACTTATATTATCCTGAGGAAATCAAAAGCTATACAAAAACATAAGCTTGCACAAACACACCTTACTTTAAAAAAAACAAATAAAATATAAGGAAAAACTCCAGGTTGAATTCCCCTTCAAATTGCAATATTATTGAATTGAATTCAACTTGATAAGCATCCAGTATGAAGCCATTTGTTTTGTTTGATGGGTCTGTGCGCTTTGTACAATGGTGCCCTCCCATGGAAGATTTGTAACATCACATGTATAGTTATTTGAGCTCTTGTAAAATACAAGTCTATCTTGCATGATCAACAAAAACATCGCAAAAGCTGGAAGTGTTGTTATCCTCAATGCAATCTCCCTCCTTTACAAAGAGCAAGTCTACTTAAAGCTCGTCTTAAGCAGATCCTGCTTCAGAAGATGGGGATCTGATGGTTCACTGGCTATGTTAATCACTTTGTATGTACAGAGTGATTAAGCGTGATCAAACCCCTCCTATCAAATCCAGTAGTCCACATCAAGAATCCCACAGCACACACACACAGGAAGCCCTCAGTATCATCATAGAATAACATACGATTCAAGTTGTAATCCTGCAACTTATAAAACTGGCACACAGTCTTTCAAATGACTAACTGACTTGTTCACCACTTGTCATTGTTATCAAAGCAACCAACTCACTTTGCATTTTTTCTGGAGTCATAATGACAAAAATCCTTACTATTCCCGCCAACGACTAACATGTCCATGTAAAATATATGTGTCTCTGTACACTAGGAATTAAATAAAGAAGTTGTACAAATAATGAAAGTTTGCATGTCTGACTGTTATTGTTTATAGCCAGTGGTGTAAACTAACCACTGGCAGTACATTTACTCAAGCTGCTACTCTGTATTTCTACTCTTCTACAATTTAGAGCTAAATTGTGTACTTTTACTCCACAACATTAATTTAATACCTTTAGTTAAGTTGCAGATTTTGACTAATGATGTGAACTATAATGAAGTCTTAAATCAGACTTTAGTTCCACCTGGAATAAATTCACAAGCTACCTTGCAGTATACAAAGTCATTCAAACTAGCTGCAGTGGGCCGATCTGAATAACCAGTTATTTTACTTTTGGTACAAGTATATTTTGATGCCAATTCGTTTTTACTTTTACTTGAGTAACATTTTGATTGCATGACTTTTACTTGTAACAGAGTATTCCTACACTCTGGTACTTCTTCTTTTAATTAAGTAAAATGTCTGAGTACTTCTTCCACCCCTGTTTAAAGCTGTCACTGACTGTGATGTGCACACAGAGGAGCTTTAACCCTCAGCATGGCTCACCTGCCGTGCCCAGCCAGCTCGGCCCCCTCCTCCTTCAGCCTCTTGCTCTTGGCTGCACAGTCCTCCAGCAGGATCTCCTTCCGTCTTTTGATGGCGTGCAGCCAGTCCACCTCATCTTCTCTCCTGGGTCCAGCATCTTCTGGCTTCTCTGCTTCAGCCACAAACTGCTGCACAGCTGTCTTTGAAACCTTCTCACCAACTTTCCTCTTCCAACCAAATGAAGCCATGCTGCAGGGAAACGACAGTGGGTTTACTAACAATATGCCCAGATATACTATTATCTCATATGAACAGTATCAAATATGTACAGGAAAGTCCAAACTTTTATTTTGAAATATCGTAAAACCAACTAGCTGTTGATGTTAGCATACTTTTACCATGACATATCCTATGTATCTTACCCGGCAATCTAGCTGCTACAGTTATATGTATATCCTATTTAAGGACAGTTACATAACTAACCAATATTACAAACAAATACTAAAAAAGCGACTTTATAAAACTAAAGACCACCATGACAGTCACAAGAAGGCTAGCTAACGTTAGCTATAATAATCTAGCTAACATTCGCCACACATTTTTATGTCTAAGTACATTTGCTCACACAATTATCTTGTTTTGACATGATATATCACATTTGAATTTCTTTTTTAAAAACAGTAATTACGCACAAACGTCTACAGCTTTCCGTGGGCTAAAATTGACAAGCTAAAGGAAGCTAACCTCTGGCCATATTTGGTGACCCGGAAGTTGTTTGAATGTTTACATCGTCTCTTAAAGAAACACAAACCGTATTTTTTATGTGGCCTACTACTCTACTAGCATGCCAGTAACGGAAAAACAATTGAATTATAAATACGAAGTAAGTTCTGCTGACCTAAAAATACTTTGATATACTATAACATTTAGTTGTTTTTACGATTTAAGGAAATGCAGTTACTGAAATGTTATTTAGATCTGGCCGGACTGACTCTCCGTTTTCCCACTAGATGGCAACACATGGATGACTCAGAACAATTTTTTTAGCCATAAAAGAGTTTATTTAATCTTAATTCATCATTGCTTTCTATCACAGTATGCCACTGTCCATACTGTTGTTTATTGCAGATGATCACATTTGTTAATACTGTTTTTTCCCCCACCTGTAATTTGTAACCTGTATTGCATTGCATTTTTATTTATTTATTGTATTGCATGTTTGTATCTTGTCTTGTATCTTCTTCAATACCTGTTTTTGCATATATTTGTAAATATTATATTCATTTGTTTATACTTCTGGAAAAATTGTGTTCCTATATGTACTGTACTGCACTTAATATAGCTGGAACCTAAACCGGTGGGATTTCAGATTACTAAGGTCTTCCCCTGACAAGAAGACATTCCCTGTTTGCAGTCTGAGTAATTAACATTCCATTCACTGAGAAAACGGTTTATTTAATGACTGTGGTGTAACATTCTAGTGTAAAAAGTTAATTGCAAAACACTAGACACATTTGTTTGCAATTTAGCAGTTTATTAGGCAGTTGTGTATACAAATGATTTCAACACTGTCCATTCAGATTTACACAGGTCAATCTGGTAGGGTCCCTTTACACACCAAACAAAAATAATATTTATTTGAAGCAGTCCAAACAATTAGACTGACAGAATTCATCTGATAACAGTCTACTGGGACACAACTCCATACACTGTCGAAAAAGGTCACACTTTCACACATTCATCTTTCCTACAAAACTCATGAAAAGTCTTGTAGTCAAAACTTGCAACTGCCCTATAAAACTAAAATGTTTAGTTTTACTTCCCAAGAACATAATGGGTTTATTTACCATGATCACTGTTTATCAGAAAGTCTTAAAACTGAGACATAAAAGGTCAAATATCAACTAAATATTTCAGTCCAAACCTGCCCCACTGGACAGCAGGAGAAACAAGATCATCACAATTACTGTCACTCTTGGCAATTTGTGTTACATTATACGTCTTGAATGTAAAATTGTTTATACAAATGAGATTGTAAGGGTTTTAAAGCTTTGGAGGGGTAAACACTGAAAACAGAGCAATTGCTTACAATTCTTAACTCAGATATAATGTAACGTTTCTTTTATTTAAAACGTGTCTGATATTAAGATTTGAACATGCAAAGTTCTTTAAAACCTGGTTTAGCTGAATTAAGACAAAAATCAAGATATTATTAGAAACCAGTTTACTGGTTTTCTATTCTCCCCGCTACCATAGTTAAAAGATGGTAGCAGGAACTGAGGACTGAAGTAATATGGCAACAACAATCAGATGTTTCTGTTATGTTTTATAGTGCATTATTTGCTTTTTTTTGTGATACAAACACTTAAAATAATCTGTGAATTTCTAATGAAGTTATTGTGAATGAAAACTGTCAAAATATGTAGTCGATTCCAACCATTAAAATTGCAAAAAGTGCCAATAATTCTGACCAGCACTGGATTCCAACTTTTACTGACATAAAACCGATTAACAGTACTGACAATAATAAGGCAGCCAAACAACAGAAACCACAGCAAACTTTAAGACAGTGGATAGGAAATGAAGGGAGATGCATCATACTTGTGATTAAATATGTATCTTAAACTTTGTGAGCTTAAGAGTAGTATGACATTTTTTGTATCAAATATAATTCACCCCCACACATATTTATGATCTAAATGCTTGTGTGATATTTTTTTCTTCTATCCGAAATGCAATCGACCAGGAAGGGCTTCACAAATCCAAGCTCACAAATCTGTTTCATATGTAAACCTTTTTTCCAAGGGAATGTGGGCAAAAATGACTGTTCGTCTGCCAATAAGACATCGCCATGCGCTGCATGTAATTGCTACTTATCATTTTCAAATTGAGCCCCAAGGCCTCTACACTTGTAATGGATTGGCATCTACAAATTGGATGTAGGCAAAAGGCATTTCACTCAGTAATCATTCTTAACAATCCTAATAATGAATCTAAAGAAAAAAACAAAACAAAAAATACAACAAAAAAAAGTCAAAAATCAACTTGCCGTTTTAATGAGACACTGAAAATGATATATTTCTAGATTTTGACTGTCATGGCAAAACACCCCTTAAATGGTAAAAGCAGGCTATATTTATATGGAAAGACAATCAAGTATCAGAATAGTTGTGATTGAAGGAAACAGAGCTGTGATATTGATTTAAAAACCAGACAGTAAAAAAGGAAAATATATACCATCCAGCAATGGATCTTGATGCAATAAAGAAAACGAAAAATCCATGTCCAATAGAAGCAATACTCCGTCCACTGATAAATATATTCACGTCTTTATATATAAAACTGTAGGGGACAGACAAATTCAATTTTTTACAACAAGGACAAAACCATGACAATTTAGTCTCTGACAACTCCAAAGACCAATCATAAATCTGATGAAGCATTCTTTAGTCCCTGACACAAGACAGAAATAAAGGGGTCATTGTACTTCTTCAGAGTCCAATGAATGTGATGGGCATGACAGCCCTTGTTATAGCCAGTGCAGAGCCCCCATACATCTGCACCACCTCTCTGATCCCCACCGAGAGGAAAACAAGAGCAGCAGGAAATTAAAGAAACTTGTGCAAAAGTGCCTCCTGCATCCTTTACGACTGCCACCTAAAATCACCCACCCCCAACGTGTGGCTTCCTTCTCTGCAGGCCAAAACTTGATCTTGTTCCCTGTACTGGAAAGCAGTGCTCCCTGGCTACAGTACAGACAATTCAGTGTAATCAACTGCGTATATATGTATAGTTGGGATGTGGACATTTGCTTTTTAAATTGATCAGGAAACTGTAAAACCCCCTCCTTAATGTTGTTCTGTCCTAGCTTTAGAGTAGCTCGTCTTTCACTTTTCCATATAACCCCCTTACATTCCCTGCCAGCTCAGTATACATCCCTTCAGTTTAGGGAACACTAACTTGCGTCAGTGCCATGGAACAATCACTTCATCCTCAGCCCGGATGAATTGAGCCATGAATCGGTTGCATGCTTATTGCTATAAAGACACTCGGAGAGGAAAAAAGGCTAGCGATTGTTTTGCAAGCTATCGTGCAAGTAGTTTAATAAGATTTGCGCACATCTCAAAGAACTCGATGGTGTGGCTTCCGGGTCGAGGGACGATCGCGGTGTCCGCCCCTCCCGTTGAGTCGATGGATGAAGTCAACGATGAGGCTAAGGAGCTTTCTGCGGCCTTGGCGAGGGGCACAGGGATAGACGTGGTTGGAGTTTCTGCCCCCTCTACATCGTTCTTTAGAGTGCTGCGGCAGTTGCCCACAGACCCAGATCGGAGAGGGGTAGCAGATCCAGATTTGGTCTCCACCATATCATCTGAATAACAAAAGACAAAACATGTTTTATACTAAATCCACACACAACATTTTTTTGGGGATTTAATTCCATATGAAGATCTATACCCACAGCACACAGGCCTTGTCACATATTAAAAAAATAGAGGTATTAAAATATTACACATTTAATATATTAATGTATTGAATATCTTTCCTGCTTTAGAAAGAAACATTAGGTATAAATAGTTGTAATGCTATTTTTACCTTCATTTTCAGGTGTATATCAATATCGTGTAGTGTCTCTACTGTGACATGTCTCCTTGCTTTAATGTTCAAAAAGCTCTTTATTTCTCTCATACTGCCTGTGCCCTCTTTTCACCCTCTGTCTAAAACCAGAGCCCAGTCTGCTCTGATTGGTTAGCTGGCAAGCTCTGTTGTGATTCGTCAACCGCTTTGAGACATTCAGCCCCTTAGCCTATCACCTACTATGTGTTGGATCCCAACAGATGCACAAGTGTTACATAATGATGTCACAGAAGTAAACCAAGGAGTCCAATGGAGGCATTTCAGGCAGGGGGGGTGTGTGGGTGGGGGGGGGGGGAGCAAAACTCCAGGGATTTTAGCCTCTGCAGACCATTTACATGCACAACAACCAATAACACACTACAGGAAAGGGAAAAGCACAATAGGGCCTCTATCATTTTCGAGACATGGGGGAGAGAAGGGTTATGACCCGGCTGGAATTCATGTTGCAGTAATGTGGCATGCGCTGAAACAAATCGGTTACTAAGGCGCTTCATAAGTTTTAATTCTAATGTTGAAACTAATCAGCCTTCAATTCCATAAAGCCATCAGTTACAGCTAAACATTAACTCCTTGGCTGACTTGGCTGAAGCTTGGGGCCAAAATGTAGTCTCATGCCCTTTACAGAGCATGCCTGTGCCACGATGATACTGCTCATAACAACACTCTTATCTCTGCCTTTGAGGCACCGCGGCACACACCTAAACTACTGGACTAAAGCCCTCAACCCCATAGTAAATCATTGATCAAGTTTACACTGACACAGCATACCACAGGACAGAAACCAGGTAAACATTACCTAGATACAGGGAGTTGTATCTTTGCAGTTCTTAAAACAACACAAAAATACATGTTAAAAACTAAAAGTAGAGGAAAATGTGTTGTGATTCTGGGTGAACTGTCTTTTTAGACAAAAAGCCACTTTTTCTTAGTTCCAAAGCTATGTAGTTTGTCTTTAATATGAAACACAGAAAGCTTCACATCTTAGGAAAAGTAACAGAGAAAATAGTTTAGTAACTTACCGTCTATGCTACGGAAATCGAGGAGGTAGGTTCTACTGTCCACCTGGTAGAGTTGAAGGCTCATCTTGGTTTGCATCCCAGTAATGGGATTCTTCCTTTTCACACGTAGATAATACGGATTCACAACCTGCAAGAGTTACGAAGGGTGAATAAAACAATGATTGTATGAATCTTTTTAAAAAGGAAGTCTCATATGACAAATAGTTATTTACAATAATGTGAAGACACAATTAAAGCACTTTATTTTGTCCTCTTTCTTACCTTCCACTCATAATCCAGCTGTTTCATGGCCCGGCAGACTTCAGACATGATGTCGTTGGGTCGACTCTGACTGCGGATGCCCAGGTGCCACTTGGCTCTTCTTACTCCCTGGTGCTTGGACTTCTGGGGGTTCAATTCGTCCAGAGTGTGGCGAGGCCTGGGGGGAGTCTCCGCCAAGAGGAAGGGTACTCGCTCGGGGTGGGGCTTGACAATGCCGGACACAGTGGCACCAGTTGAGGTCAGGAGCTGGTCGTCTAGAAAAGAGTCCGGAGGGCTGGACGCCAGGTAGAAGTCCTTGGCTTCACTCATGATGCGACGATTGTCAATGATGAGGTGGTAGGCGACGGCCAAGGGGTCCTGATGGTTGCGGCTGTATATGCAGGTGAGGACCTCCTCCTCTGTGCACTCAAACTTCTCACAGACCTCCTTCAGGGCTTCGTCGTCAATCATGTTGTTGCTGTAGGAGGGGTCCTCAGGGAACAAGTACTTTGGTAAGCCCTGTTTGAACCAATCATCATCTCTGTGAAGGACACAATATTCGTTGTATTAAACACAGCACATACTGTGAATGCTACACTGAAACTAGCACTAATATAGATCAGGTGGTTTAAGAAATAGTTTGATTTGTAGTAAATCACGTCGGGCTTACCGGATCTCTCTGATGGTGGCTCTTTTCATGGGGTCCACCTGCAGCATGTGTTTGAGGAGGCTTATTACAGAAGGGTTTAGATACTGCGGGGTAAAAAAGATTCCGTCGCAGATCTTCTTAAAGAGTGTTGGCACGTGGTCGTCATCAAAGGGAAGTGTCCCACACAACAAGGCATAAAGAATGACCCCACTGCTCCAGATATCCACCTCTGGACCGGCATATAACCTGAGCACGAGAAAAATAAACAATCTTTTGATCATGAAAGGAACTTCTTAGCAACATAGTAGGAGAGTGTTTGAGTCCTGAGTCAATATCACCTTCCAATGACATATCGAAAACATTACCTTCCTGAGATGACCTCAGGAGCAGCATAGTTTGGAGAACCACAGCTCGTTCGCAGGAATTCCCCATCTGACATCATGTTTGATAGTCCTGCACAGAGTGTACACTGTTATAATAAGGTCAGGATCAGCCTTATAGCATTAAGTCATATTAGATTGCTTTATCTCTACATATGATACAGATCAAAACGGGGACCAGCTCATTAAAACATTGCTCCCTAGCCTTTTTATTGTGCATTTCATTTTGAGTTAGTGAACAAAGTCCTGTACTCGTGTGTCCTAAATTGAACATTAACGTAATCACCTGTGAAGACCTGAGTTTAGGATGAGACTCACTTACCGAAGTCTGCAATCTTGGCATTCATATGTGCATCAAGCAGCACATTTTCAGGCTTCAGGTCCCGGTGCACCACCATGTGTCTGTGGCAGTAGTCTACCGCTGAAATAATCTGCTGAAACAGCCGACGGCTCTCCTTTTCCTCCAACTGTCAAAGCAGAAATGATCCATTAGGCGTGATCTTCTCTGTGACTCAGTTGGCACATCACAGCTGACTAAGCAGCACTTCCTGTCGGGCTTCGATCTCTTTTCCCGCCCCCGTTGGTTTTTGGTTCACAGGTTGATGTATCTGTACCAAAAGCTGGCAATAATATTGAAAAGTACATAATGCACTTTTACGATCTGGTACCCTCACTGATTATAACATATACAACATCTGCTATATATGAGAAAATGGAAAGACTGACAGAAAATGTGGTACATCCATAAAACAGACTTTAAGACTTTTTCCAGTATCACGGTGTATTACCTTTCCATTTTTGCAGATGTAGTCGAATAGCTCTCCCCCTGAGACATACTCCATCACCATGAAGATATCAGTCGGGGTGCTGATAACCTGATACCTGCAGACAGAAACACAAAATGACAATCTTGTGGGACATAAACAATGACATATTTAACACTGCTAACAAAATGAACACTAAGTATATCTAGGCCCATTTGTCAATTTGTGTTTATTTAAGGTAAAACCACAATGCAGCAGTTTGGCTAAAATACAATATCTTGGTAATGTATGCCTTGCTTTAATGAAACTCTTCTTTTAAATGAAGACACTGTATGACATAATAAATGAACCCGTTTCATTGCACCATCTCATGCTTGTCTTCACTGGGCCCCATGAAACAAACATCAGGAGTGAAAGCACCCCAAAGGCCCTTTTACACATGTACTGCAATACAGAAAGCATCCAGTAATTACCCTGTAGAGCTATAAATAAGAATTCAAATACATTCAAAAGAGTTAACCCTGCCAACTACCTTCTACACAGTCAGTGTTATTGTCCGGAGAATTCATGGCAGACGAATGGGCGTATTGATATGTCTATCACGTCTGGCGTGAAACCAAAAGAACACAAACATCCATATATGTTTACTACATATACCACTATTTAAATCATCCATGACTCAGCACATCTGTGGTTTGATCTAGGCTGCAAGGTATGAAGTACAGCATCAACCCTCTAGAGTATTTCAGATAACTTGTATTGCAGCAGCATTAGTTCAAACTTGATCAAGTGACTGAAGAATGTGTTATTGGACAGCAACCAATCCTTTCAGTGCAGGGATTAGCTAGAAATTCTTGCAACTGAGAATCAACAATGGCACCCATCATACCTTTCTCTATTTACACTACAACTAAGAGGCCTGTGATTTTCATAGTCAACATCAAGCAGCAGAGTAAGCTAAAAGCTGAAACTTCTGTAATCCCTGTAGCTCTGAATAGTGATGTTTTAAAACGACTTAAATCAAAGTCATGACAAGGTGACAGTGTTAGATATTTGAGTATAAGAGTGTCTGTCTCGTTTGTAATCTCCAATCATTACATTGTCCGTGCAAAGGTAAAGACAATAAAGATTGTGGCACAGCCAACAAGAAATGCAACTTAGCAGATGTGACAGATGTTGACTAACTGCTCATCTAATCATTCACAATCACTACACACATCCTGTGAACCAAATGAAGCTGTAATGTGTTGTATTGCTTCACTTGTCCTCACATGACATTATTCACTCTAGACAGGCAAAGCCATGCCCTCTGCCCGAGTGTTTGTCAAAGATGTGATCTCCCCTTCCTCTCAATGGCGTTGACATTCTTGTGCATGCAGGACATGGAGATGGTATTTCAGGCAATACGACACACCTCATGGTCGTTTTGACAACTCTGTAGCTTTGGCCTCGGTCCTCTGCTGCTTGTTTGGACATTCAAATACCTCGTATGAAGTACTGATTAGTGTCTCTTTCAGCAGCAGTGTAACCTCAACAGAGCATCTTCCTGTTTCCAAATGAACAGTGTTTACTGCAGGCTTGATGTGCTTACAATACATGCTTGACTAACAGTGTAATGAGCCGGCCGCTAAATACTGTCACACAGTCAGTTTGGGCATGTGAGGTTAAACAATGACTCATTCAAAACCATGCAGTCAGTGAGGTGGCCTGGAAAGAAACATGAACATCATGTATCAATCTGCATCAACACATGTAGATGTTGTCAGCAGTGCCTTAGCTTTTTTAAAACAATCAGATAAAAGATATACACCTGCGTTGGAGTTTATTATCATTTCCTGCTGTATTACAATGCTCAATACAGACCTATGGGTTCTGTAAATACATAGTGAATGCACCCTCAGTGAATATTACATTTGAGTGTAGTTGATCTCTCAGCAAGTTCGAGGAAAAACAATGGTAAAGCAATTTTTATATTAAAATGAAAGGTCAACAGGGAGGATGCAATAATGCAGACTGAGCCTAGGACTGAAGGGTGAGTAGACTGGGTCAGACAGATAGGGATGTTTTCTAAAACACTCCATTAACCTGTTTAGCCCTGAGCCTGTTTTTCAGGTCTCAGGCTTGAAAATGACATGCCCAGAACAAATGACTATATCTTCACTTCTAAAAAGGGGTAAATTAAGAATCCTTTTTCTCAAAGCAATGCTACAACTGCGAGTTGGATGTAGAAAAGTCAGAATAAATATAGATGTTTTTATTTTAAAGTAAATTCAGATTGAACATATTAAAAAAAAATGTAAATGATAGTTTCCGTCCAAAAAAAAAAAACATTACATATAATGAAAACCACCCTTGAATGATGGGATGGTAGACTAAAAGCTTTAGGAATCCAAACTATAACATATAAAAAGTAACCTGTATCAAGATTGATGCATAACAACTGAAATATGACCTTTTTAGAAAAAAAACATTTGGGTGTATTTGCCATATCTCTGGCACCCATCGGTCAATTTTGGTGATTGACACCTCTTTTGAACCGTTAGAGCCAATAGAATCGAGGGGAAGATCCTAAATCCATCTAAACATTACCATTGGTGAATGAGAGTGATAACCAGCCAGCATACCCAAAACCGGAAGCTGGGTTACAGCTCTCATACACTCCATATGAAAACTAGGCTTATTGTCATAAATATGACGATGGATTATCAGTAATCATTTCTAAGTGACACAGAGACATTGGATTAACCTTCAGCAGCGTTTATATGCATTTTAATGCCATTGAACACAACTTTGGATCAGAAAACAGCAAAGGTAAGACGTATTTGCCGTTTTGGCCCCTTAAAGTGAAGTTGTGTGTTGTATTTGCTTGCCTTCGCGAGTTTTGGTCGCACAGTGATGATACTTATACCATTGGAATCTGTGGAATCTCAGCTTTCATAGATATCTAGTTTGAGCAGATCCGATGAAGTATAACATATTTCTACCGTGAGTTATGGGCTAAGTGCATTAGCACTCTTTCGCTTAGTGCTAATTCAGACGCTCGGCGTTAGAGTTGTGTTTTGTTTCGGTAAAAATGGTTCATATCGTCAGGTAGCCGAGTTTCTTCCCGTTAATAGGTTGTTAAATGTTAACCTGTTAAGCCCTGAGCCTGTTTTCCAGGTTTCGGGCTCGAAAATGACATGCCCAGAACAAATGACTATATCTTCTCTTCTAAAAAGGGGTAAATTAATAATCTTTTTTCTCAAAGCAATGATAAACCAGTGAGTTGGATGTAGAAATTCAGGATCAATATTGATTTTTTTTATTTTAAAGTAAATTCAGATTGAACACAGTAAAAAAATGTAAATGATAGTGTCCGTCCAAAAAAAATACATTACTTATAATGAAAACCACCCTTGAATGATGAGATAGTAGACTAAAAGCTTTAGGAATCCAAATTATAACATATAATAAGTACCCTGTATCAAGATTGAGTTTCTTCCCGTTAGGTGGGTATGACACATACATAGTTTGTTAAATGTTAAGAAGCCCTCAGACGCTGTTTCTTGCAGATGTTGCGTTTTTGCCCCCGCCCACGGGTCCGTGAGGCTCAACAGGTTAAGAAGCTCTGAGACACAGTTTCGTGAATATTGTTGTTTTTAGCCCCCGGGGGCGGGGGCTCCGGGCTTAACAGGGTAACGCCTGAAAATAGCTCAGTGGGTGGCTTTAATTTACCGGCAGGGGGATTATGGAGCAGCGAGCAGGGTGTAATCTAGGACTTACAGTTTAATTATGTGAGGATGCCTGAAAAGCTTGAGGTTCTGGATCTCCCTGCGGATCTTTCCCACCACGTCCAAACTGCGAATCTTCTGCCTGTTCAAGATCTTCACCGCCACTTGGTGCTTGGTCAGCTCATGTTGACCCACTGCAGGATAAAAACAAAATGAACATACATGAGTAAATGCAATTACAATCCAGGACGTATAAAAGTATTTAAGAATTTAAGGAGCATTGTTATAGACCTGCAGTAACTTGTAATTTTACCACTTGGGTGTGGCAGACACAAGCTGTGAAAACAACATTGACATATTATATATCATAGCCTTATATAAAGTTGATATGATAATTGTTTTTGCAAACTGTTGCTTTTTTTTTGTACACAGAATACACAGAGCAGCAGCCTGTTGCATCTGGGGGTGAGGCTGAGAGAATTAGACAATTAACCAAAATGAAGCCCTGGGCCTGAAAATGAAAACCATGAGCTAAAAGTCACTTAAATGCTCTGTTAAGATGAGGGGAACTTCCAAGTCCAAGTTATTCTTTTTTTTTGTGATTGCATTACCTAATTCATATAGAGTAATAGGTAATATATTTAAGTTCGACGCAAATCTCTAAAGACCAAGAACTATTAAAACATCTTAAAATAACAATCCAACAGACAAATAAAGAAAAAACAAATAACATCTGAAGGGATTGTGCGAAGAAGTGGGAGTTAGTTTACAGCTGTTAATGATTTACCAGTTGTGCTGGAAGCAAACTATTAACAATGTCTCCAGTAAGCAAACCATAATCAAAGACCTAAGACTGTGGTCTTCTTTCTAACAACAACAAGACGCTTAGTGCAGAGATGACTCACTGAGATTTAACTGACTGTAAAACGAAAAAGCTTGTGGTTGTTGTGTCAGTGCCTGGCTGGTTTACTTCATTTGGGTATATTATGGCTTAATCAATTGTTCCTAGGAGACGCAATGCACTGCATGATGAAGCAGAAAGCAGCCTGCAGAAGTGTTTTTTTTTAGAAGAGCCTTTTATCTATCACATCAGTCCATTACAGGGGCACTTCTAAGATGGAACATTTGAATAAGTCCAATTGATATGCAAGACCAATAAGTGTTGATACAAGCAAAGCTATGTATTGACTAACCGTACCGCCCTCTGGAGTGACAACATTGGGCGTACAAGTCGCAGGGTTTGCACTGCACCCTCCCCAACCAAAGAAAACCTATTAAACCTATTAATCTGTCTTTAATTAGAATGGCAAATATAACTCATAAGCAGTGGTGTAAAGTAACCAAGTAGATGTACTACTTTACTTAAGTACAATTTCGATACCCTAGTACATTAGTTGAGTATTTCAATGTCTGGGTACTTCGTACTTCTACCTCACTACAATTCAGAGGTAAATAGCAGTGTTTCCCCTACCATTGTCTTGGAGGGGCTCTGCGCCCCGCCAACGGAGCCCCGCGCCCCCCCTTTATATATATAGCACCAAATTGCAACTAATCTATATCTATTATCACTTTTCACATTGAACATGTGCTCTTTTATTAAATAAACTAAACACTTTCATTTTAAGTTGTGAGTTTAGTGTTTTTGACCCTAAGAAACACTGAGGCATTAATCAATAACAATAATCCACAGCTCCTCTCTCTGCTCCAGAGGATTTAAATATCCCAACTTAAATCACTAAAAGTACAAGTACTAATTATGCAGATTCGTCTATTACATAATAACATATATCAAATGTTACGAGTATAATTATTGATGCATTAAAGTGTGATCAAAGCTGGTAAAGGTGCAGCTAGTTTTAATGACTTTGTATACTGCAGGGTAGCTTGTGAATTTACTCCAGGTGGAACTAAAGTCTTATTTAAAGGGGACCTATCATGCAAAATGCACTTTTGTACGTCTTTTATACATGAAAATGTGTCCCCGGTCACAACGTCACAACCCATATGTGTTGATTATATTTCACATTATTAATACAAATCTGCAAAGTAACTAAATGTATTAAATACATGTAGTGGAGTAAAAGTATACCATGTAACTCTGAATTGTAGTGGGGAGAAGTACAAAGTAGCAAAAATACTCAAGTAAAGTAAAAGTACCCCAAAATGATAGTTAAGTACAGTACTTTAGAACATGTACTTAGTTACAGCACTGACTGCAGAACTGCATAACTTTAACATATTATGACATGTATCAGCATAGCTAAATGGTACTCATGTATAGGCACTCAGCCAAATTAACTAACAGCAGTCAGGGGGGTTTACTTCCCGGTGTCTTGGTCTTGACAAGCGACTTGTGGCTCTCCGGCTAGCTCGCATCGCAACCACCGCTGACTGATTATGTTTTTAAATAAAATACTTATGTCATACAACTTGCATTGTGTGGCTGTATGCTTTCAACTGCAGCTAAAGCCCCCATAAATTGCCACGTTTGTCACACACAAGTTAAGCTAACTAAGATGACAACAAGTGTGCTAGCTAGTTTCTGGCGTTGCGACAAGTTAGCCTTTTCCTAGCATGCTAACATTAGCTGCTAATAGCTAACAGCCACCATCTTTCAGTTGGCAGGGCGCACAGACGTCAGGACCGCCAGACATACCTTTAACCTTTCCAAACGTCCCCACTCCGAGTGTGTCTCCGAGAATGTAATGTCCAATTTTAACTCTTCCTTCATTTTTCTGTTTTTCCGTCGCCATCTTCCCGCAGTGGCCTTGCTGCGGGGTTAGCTAGCTGCGAGCAGAGATGGGCCGGACTCCGCTGTGTGCGTCTCTCTACTCAAGCGGCGGCTGCGCTCCACACGGAGGGAGGCGGCGCCGCGGCTGCTGCACGATTCGTCAGCAGCGTATGCGGCGTAGTATGGTGCCTTCAAGTTCTAACTTGAACAATTTGAAACGCCTATATTAACAATTGTATGGTTTTATATTTTAAGTCAAGTAAAAGTACTAACGCATAACTAAGCATCAAAATATACTTAAAGTAGGCTACCAGAAGTACTCTAAAGTTTAAGTACAAACGTAATACCATCAACATTCTAATTTAACCCTCCTGTTGTGTTCGGGTCAAATCTGACCGATTTACTACTTTCATCAACTTTTTTGTTTTACATTCGATTGCATTGGCTTTATGATATCCTTCACATTAGACATTTTAACATAAACAATGGCTGATCACCACTTTCATTGAAATGTTGATGATTTAGTCAACTTTGTCACACACACACACACACGCACGCACGCACACACACACACACACACACACACACACACACACACACACACACACACACACACACACATGGGCGTCATTTCCAATGGGGACAGGGGGACATTTTTTTTTTACGCAAGCGATCATCGTCACGGAGGAGCGTCTGTGTGTGTGTGGCATGAGCGCATCTTGTGAGAGAGAGAGAGAGAGAGAGAGAGACACAGAGATTTACGGGGTTGTTGTTAGCATTTGGTGCTAGCTCAGAGCTAACGAAGATTAGTCTGTTTCAACAATAAGGAGAGGATGAGCTCTTTCCTGTCGGACTTTGAGAGACTGAGAGAGAAAGAGAGAAAGAGAGAGACAGAGAGAGAGAGAGAGAGAGAGAGAGACAGAGATAGAGAGACTGAGAGAGTTACGGGGGTTGTTGTTAGCATATGGGGCTAGCTCGGAGCTAACGGAGATTAGAAGCTGTTTCAACAATAATGAGAGGGAGAGTCCTCTCCTGTCGGACTGAGAGAGATAACGTCAGCTCAGGGAAGTAAAGGACTCTGAGTGATTAGATTGTAAACTTTAGTCTAAGTTATCTCAGTGGGTCTCAAATGGTTTGGTCATCTATGTAAACAAATATGTCCATCTATGTAATATTAGTTGTATATAAAATAAGTTAAGAAATCAATGTGTACTATAGGTCAGTACAAAAATAAAAAACACAGTTTGAAAGGGGAGTGATTAGTCAAATATGCATAAATAAAAAGAAAGAATGCAGATAGGTAAGATAAAGATAGGAGAGAGGAGTTTATCAAATATTTGTTATTGGTTGTGAGCATATTCTAATGGTTTTTTGTTTATTGAAATATATACAGTTCTGTTTCATATGAGTNGATACTAGATAAGTGTGCAAACTCATTATATACACATTTTTCTTGGATTTGTTAACACCATAGTCCCTAATATATTTAGAAAAAAAATTTTTTTTTTGTTTATTGAAATATATACAGTTCTGTTTCATATGAGTGTTCAGAGAGCTTTATCCATACATCTCTTAGTGTTGCCCTCAAAGTGCACCAGATAGATGCATTTAAATTCAATTTTAAGAAAAAAATCTTCCCGGGGTGCATGCCCTCGGACCCCCCTAGAGGATGTGAGGTCATCACAAATAAAACAGGTTCACATGGATAGGATACTAGATAAGTGTGCACACTCATTATATACACTACACACTTTTCTTGGATTTGTTAACACTATAGTCCCTTATATATTTGTAGAAAGGCAGGAAATGGAATTAAATTGAGAACATTTTTCACTGCGGATGACCCTCTGTTTTGTGTTCCCCCCACTTCTCAAACCAAAGTTACACCCTTGCACACACACATACACTAGATGTGTTTCCCCCCTTATGTGCCCATCCCCCCATGTGAATCACACCTGACACACACACACCTATTATACATCCATGACACACACACACACACACACACACACACACACACACACACACACACACACACACACACAGAACAATTTGATACATTTCCCACTCTTATGTGCCCATCCCCCAACATGGATCACACCTGGCACACGTAAT